AGCCCCTAATTCCCATGTCCCAGACACGAGGCAGGGAATATGGAGCTGGCGACCTCTTAATAAGCAAAGATCTGCTTTGGCATGCAACACCCTTCCTACCATGCTGCTGGGATCCAGTCTGGGGCCTATAAAAGTGCTTGCTGGACCCATTACTTCCTGAAGAAGACAAAGCTGATTAAATGTGTCCAGGTGCTGCAGCATTTTGTCGCTCCACCAGACGCGAAACATCCCCCCTCCCTCCTGAGCTGTAATATCCTGGATAAGAGTGGTGATGAATGGGGGATGAGGGGGGACTGGATTTCCTCCCGTCCACCAAGAGATGCTGTCATTAAAACGCAGGGCGCTGGTCACCGGGTTAGCAAAGAAGCTATTCTGACAAACACAGCAGCCACCTCGCAGAGATTTCACTCGTTAGCATTGCTCAGCTTTCCGTTATCCTCTCTCCCCTCCCCAGTCACCTCCTGGGAGCGGTGGGAGAATACACACACCCCTGGCCTGGCTTTGCATTGAAAGATGCACTGGAAAAACAGAATTCATTGCTGCTGAATACATTTTTCCATGTGTCTAGAAGCACTTTAACCTAACAGTGCTTGACAGCAGAGACATCTCTACGTAGACTCATAGAAAATGAGGGTTGAAGGGACTCCAGGAGGTCACATCTAGTCCATCCCCTGCTCCAAGCAGGACCAGCCCCAACTGCATCATCCCAGGCAAGGCTTTGTCTTAACCACCTCCAAGGATGGAGACTTCTGCTAGTCTCGCTAACAAGGGCGGGGAAGAGACGGTGATATAAGTGCCATCGTGACCCAGCAATAACAGTATGTCTCGGGTAGCTGGCATGGGTCACAAGGGTAAACGGAGCTGCAACGAGCATCAGACGTGTGCAGACATAACTCGGTGGTGCTGCGAAGACAGCTGCCTAACAAGCGTCTACACACGCGCCCAGAAACGTCACACTGCTACCACACAGGTGAGCCAGGACTGCAAGACCTCAAGCAGACTGCTGTAAAGTTATATAATAATTACCTGGGCATTACAAAATTTACCATCGCAGCCATGCGAGCGAAGGCATCACAACACCGGTACTTTTCTTACATCGGCACACACGGCGAAGACAGGACATCAGTGAAGACCCAGGCTACACTTCAGGCCTCGGCTAAGCTAATGGACACGAGAGCGCTGTTACATCTAGGCCTAGGACGACCGGTCCCCGCTCCCCCACTACCTCCAAGGCCGGACTCTGCGGTTTTGTGGGGGTGTATCCACCACCCCGAGGGCTAGGAAGGCAGGAAGG